GTTGTGTGTAAGCATGTAATCATAACAATTTAGAGTGAAAATGGATAAGAAAAAATGTGACCATTTAGATTTCATTCCACATAGAAACCTAGTATTGGACTACTCGAAAAATTGTGTGCCAAGTAGAATTGGTCATGTGATTGTATGGTTATGTCAAACGTCTATGGGTGACAGTAAAATAAATAAAGAGAGATCATATTTTTGGCCTTTCATTCCCATTAATGGTTTGGACATCGACTTCAAAAGAATTCATTTTAAACTTAAATTCTCTAAAGACTAATAGCCCACTTTACATTAAATTCATTTTTTCTGTTTTTTAAAGAAAGAGTTTTAAATAGAACTAGTTTGATGTGTACTCTGTATGCGTTGACTAGCTATTATTGTTTTAGTAATTATTTGACCATAAACAAGTCTCTTCTCTTGTGTTATTGGAAAAGAGGTTTGATTTAAAAATCGACATTTAGTCCTAGTTTGGTACAAATCGTAATGATTGGGTCCTCGTGTTCAATTTATTATATCATACGTACTATTCACTTTGGGAAGGCATTTGCCATCTCAATTCCTCACGGTTTTTATCGTGTCCCCGTAATATTCGAATTCAAGACATTTGTCATACGCTCAAAAGACAGAGATCTTGGATTAGAATCCTTGAAGATGCGATAGAAATCTGTGAAAGGTAAGATGAGTTCGGACTTTTCCAAAAACTCTTCTATTTTTTTTTTTTTTTTTCAAATTCATGTCAAACCAAACGTTTTTCCAATAAAATATATATGTGAATTCACAACTTTTTCTTACTTTTAATTGCATGTTCTGTTCACAAAACTTACTCTCAAGATTTATATCAAATAGACTTTTAAATTGGTAATTTTATTTCTTGGTACCTTATATTTGGGCAGAGTGTAATGGAATGAGGTCATCGCATGAAAAGCAAAAGTAGAATGTTTAAAGCATATACTTGGAAGATCCTCTCTCAATTAATTCTAACCCATTTCCCAAACCTTTTAAATTATTAACTATCCTTCAAACTTAGGTCCTTGTCTACGAGGATCATTCGCTTTCTCATCTGGCTTCCATTAGCAAGTATGAGCTCCAATGGGATCAAATAGCAACAAGATGTCAAATCCCAGATATCTTCAGGCTATCGTGCAATACTGAAATCCTCAGTTCTGTCCCAGGATAGTACGTGACACTCTTGACAGTTAGCAGAGGTAAAAGTATGAAGAGAAAGAAGGATAATTCAGTACTCCGTAGAATTGTCATGCGGGCTGGGCTGAATCGGGTTTGGTTTGCTCAGCTCTTTTGACGCGTCTACTCCTCCAACATGTGGGCAACTATAAATCCTTTGGCAATGTAGTTCAAGTTAAATTAGTTAGAGCATCTTTTCTCCTTTTCTTCTGCACTGAGCGTTCTGTTCTACTTCTAAATTAATCTGCTGATTTTTCTTATGGAATGTCAATAGTTAAAGCATCATTGGGATGTTTGTATGCGATTTGTGTGGTTTTCTTTTCTATCTGTATGAATCTAAAGACTCCATCGAATGGAATTTGAATGAAAAAGTTGAATTGATAGACATTTTGCATTATAGTTTTTCCTGTTCGGCAAAATTTGTGCATTTGAAGTTTAGTAGCAACCTCATCTAAAAATTTTAAGTTCTTACACGAAGAACGGGTTTGGTTATTTAAATTTTGGTCTCTGAGTGTCGGTTCATGTGTTCGGAACTCTTAGCACGTGACAATTTTGTATGAATGGATAAGATCCATCACATGGACCGGACCCACCTCATTAAAAAATGACCCCAAAAATTCCCTCCCCACCCATGTTCGTACCCCTACCTGGTTCCCCAGCATAACTCTATCGTGATATTTTATGTTTGGTTCTAGTATCGTGGTAGTTAGATTACGTATTTATTTAAATGTTGTCTTTAGCATGCATAATTATCTAAAAGGTCAATTAAGAAGGAAGAGATTACAGCAAATTAGTTTACAATGAGTGTCTTCCATAGAGAATAGAAAAACTTTAATGAATAAATTTGGAGTTAATTATATAATTCCTGTTGTTATGGAATGCAAGATTTCCATAAAATTAGACGCTACACGTCCGTGTTGCAGGCTTGTCGTCAATAAAGGAAGAAATAGATTTGACGGATCAAAAAGTTATATCATAAAATAGGAGTCGTGAGTCCAATGTTCTTGGATCTTGTTACACCTTCACCTCACGTGGAGGTTACGTAAGATCACATGTTCATATCACCCTTCATCTTGTCCACTAATGAAAGAATAAAAGCTACTTTTAGCACCCTCAGGGCCTGACTGGAAGTTTTGGGTACTTATTATGGGGGGGTTTGCCAAGTATCGATTTTGAGTATTTATGAAGGTTAAATTATGGGTGATTTAGACCGAGCAGAAATACAAGGGAGTTTTAGGGTATTCTTTATGAGGTATTTTAATAGTGTCAATTTCGGGTGTTTATGAAGGGTCTAGATTTTATTGATTTTGGTAAAGATTTTTAAAATAGTCTAATACATGCTTGTAAATTTATCATTCAGATGTTCTAAAAGAATTTTAGAAGAATAAAATTATGTATATGGCCTTAGTAAAATTTTCAATTTATAATTACTTGCATAAAATTTATTTTATTCACAAGTACTATTTTCATTTCAATTACTTTTTTTTTTTTTTACATATAACTTAATTTTTAACTCAAAAGTGAAATATTTACTTATAATTATTTTTTTAAGTTTAAGTGAATTTTTTAAAAGAAAATTATATTTTATAAGTATCGTTTTATCTAACTAGTAGTATTTTTTACTTTATAAGCATTTTTTTTTTAACAGAAAAGTGAGTTGTCTGAGTTTTTATTTAAAAGTAATTTTTTTGTTTTAACGTATTTTTTTTAACTCATAAATAAATTACTTTGTTATTGTATTTTTATTTACAAGTTAGTTCTACACAAAATATGAAATGTACGAGTTGAATTAAGGATTCAATCGTCACAAGGTTTGGAATCTTCCTTCAAAATCATCAAAAGCTCTCCTTCACTTTGTTCATCTCCTATTACACTAGCTTCTCCTGTGTTTTCAAGTTCTTTTCCCTAGAGAATATTCTCTCTAAAATTTATATATGAAGATAGCAGTGAAAGCAACAAAATCAATCCAAAATCTTCCTCGTCATACTTAGTCTCCAACGTCTCTAGATCAGCCACAATTTCTTTAAAAACGATTAAGTGATCCTCTATAAACATACCTTCGGACATGCGATGAGAATAAAATCGATGCTTCAAGTGTAACTAATTGATCAAACTCTATATTATATAAAGCTACTCAAGTTTCAACCACAATGCAGCAACACTCTTCTCCTTTAGAACATTTTGAAGAATTTGATTTAATAGATGGAGATGGATTTGTGACAGGGCCTTTTGATCTCTACACAGCTTTTCCTCCCGTATCCAAGTAGAAGGCATTTTATCAAACTCTAACAAAATATCATCCAAATCCATCAGTGCGAGCACAGCTCGTATCTTTACCTACCATAGCGAAGACCTTGTATTTCAATCCAAAAGGGGAATATCATATTTTATCGTTACCATAGTGGAAGATCAATCTCGCTATGATACCAATTTGTTGGAGATAAACAAGATAATGTGAAAATAAACCCAACATAAGAACACAAGATTTTATATGAAAACCTAAAACGGGAAATAATCACTAATTCACTAACTCAATAATGGACTGTTACAAGATTTCATGTTGTCAATCTAGATTTAATGTTGTTTTCCACTATGGAGAGCCAACAACTGGTGGATTATATATACAACCCTAATTATAGTGTTTTAGGTGAAATGGGCATCTTAAAATTCATCAAATTGGCGAAATTGGCTTGGGCCAGATAACATCGGGCAACAAGCGACACCTCTGTCACTCAATCTCAAAGCTTGCAGACAGAGTGTGACGAGCTCCTTGCTCTAAGCACTCAAGGGGGACCTTAGCGCGCAGCGAGCGAAAATGCTCCTATTTTTTCTCCTTGACCCATCTTTTGACTTCTCCAAAGCCTTTTCAACCAAACCACCAATATCCAACAAATTTCAGGGCTCACTTCAACATCAAGACATTGGAAAATATGATATCTCGTTGAGAACCTAATAACTCTGCCTTGGCTCGCTTTGGAAAGGTCGTATCCTAAGCTCATGAGCTTCTTTTCTTAGGGCACTACAGTTTGCATGACATGTAGGTAACTACACATGCGCTTTACAATTTTTGCCACTATGACCTATTTTTTCTTGGGGTCAACGATTTTCAAGACATCGGACATACCGAACTAAATATATATTCTTCTATGTGAGCTTGTCATACTTTCTCTTCTTGTTGGGGCTCAAAATATATTGTTTTGATACTCTATAGGTCCTACGAAGGAGGATTTGACTTGGATTGGACATCTTTATCAAGACATAAGAAAGTTAGTCGATAACTGAGTTTAGAATAACAAGTCGAAGAACGAACAGAAGTATACTCACAAGAGAAACTGCACTGCCAAGGCACGATGACATCCAGAGAATATATATTGCCACCCTTCCATCTCTTGATGAAAATTAGATTGACCTAGGGAATATATAGGATCACCTTTTCTTATCTTCCCTAGAATTTTTTTTGCCCGATAAATGGTCCTAAAAGCCTCAAAAGGAATGATATCGAATTAACATGATATTTTCCAAAGTAAAAAAATTAACCTTCCATATGACCCTACCCTTTAGGATTAGCCTAGGTGCTTGTTTGATAGGGATTTTTGTTAATTGAATTTTTTACCGTTAAAGATAAAATGGGTCCTACCTGTGAGAGAATGATTCAAAAATGACAACTGAAATAATGAAATAAAAGTCAAAAATTGATTTTAATTAGGTTTTAAGCTATACCAAACATGCTCTAGGTTGCATCCAAGTTATAAGAACGAAGTATATCACGAGAAAGGATTAAGGATGAGCTTAAGGCCAGCTATAAGCATGTTCTAAAAATTCCTTTACAAATTCTAAATATAGATTGAACAAAGAGACGGGATGTTTTCTAAAATGATGGTTTGCCTCTTAGTTTACTGACGATTTTACGCCCTTTTACACCCCTTGTTTTCTTCCATTTACAGCTATTGCACCAACCTCAGTAGATTTGCATTCTAATACAAGGAATATACATGTTGAGAAAGATAAAAGTATTAACCATGAAATTGTAATTGTAATTGTAATTGAAATTGACTACATGAATTTTCAAACTCTGGAATTGAATGGAGGAATGGGGCTTTAAATAAATTAAACAGGTAGAATAATACTCAGACGCTTTAAAGAATGATTTCTTCCTATATGCATTTACCTTTGTTCTTATTCTCCACTGAATGGAAGAAACAGTTGTTTATACTTGGGCAGTGTTTGGGCGTAATTTTTCACCCCCAAGAAATTGATTTTTTTACCGTTATTTTACTATTCCAACCGTAAAATTTGACTTCTTTTACAAATGACCTTTCTCCTAACAATCAAAAAATCAATTCTCAAAATTGCTCCCAAACGGAGCCCAAATATGAGTAAACAAAATTCATGTATTCAATTTCAAATTCAAATTCAAATTCATCGAGAATAAAATATAATTATGCTGTATGAATGCTTCTAAAATAAGAGTGTTGTTCATTATCAAGATTCAAAAATAAAGTAAATCTAAAGAGTAAGATTCGAATTTTACAGGGCAACCACATAAAGAAAACTTCAAAAGCTAATTCCCCATATTCAAAATTTGCTTTGCAAGCAATGAACCATCCACTGTGCAATGCAACTCTTATTCATTGACATGTTGAAACATATCCCGTGATTTACCTCCCTCACAAAATTCTAGAGACGAGACGGAAAGAACTTTCAAAATTAGGGTTCAACCCTTTTTTTTTTTTTTTTGTGATGCAGCAAAAGGAACTTCCAGAAAGTTGCTGCAAATTGCATCACAAACACAGATTGAATTCAAGGCAACTTCAACCCTTACACCAAATCCTCATTTTGCACCAAATATTTGGTATAATCTCACTCCAAACCAACATCAAATTTTACACCAAAATAATTAATATCACTTTTGCCTTTTTTTTTTTTTTTTCCATTTTGCACCAACCTTCATTAGGATATCTGTGTCACTTTCTTGTTATGCAACAAATTTAATTCTTAATTATTAGTTGTGATTTTTCTATTAATTATACTACACTCATTAAATTTATTAATGAATTCAATTTTTTTATTAATGAAACATAATTATAATAATTTATGAAGTAGTAGATTACATAAATAAATAAATTTTCATAAAATTAGTTATACACTCTTCATTTGATATAACTTTTAGTGTAATGAAGAAAACAAGAACCAAACCAGTTACTTGTTGCATTTGAGAATCAAACCTAATTTTTTTCAAAATCCTAAAACAAATTCCATCCATTCCAAATATTTGGTATAATCTCACTCCAAACCAACATCAAATTTTACACCAAAAAAATTAATATCCCTTTTGCCTTTTTTTTTTTTTTTTCCATTTTGCACCAACCTTCATTAGGATATCTGTGTCACTTTCTT